TAGTTGTTTATTGACTGACTTACCGTAAAGATGTGAAGTTTTATTGTTTTGAAGATACATTAAGTGTTTTGTAGTATTCCTCTCCAGGTCTACATTATATTTCTAAGTAATTAATTATTATATTTTTGAAGAGCAGTTATTTTCACAATTTTTATGTCGCTTCTAAATTAATTTTCACTGCATTTTAATACCGTACATTAATTTTTCTATATTATAAGTATTATACATGTCAATGCAGATTTTACAACAGTGAATCCGATACAAAATTTCATCAATCATATTAAGTATATGATACAAAAATTAAAGTATCTTAAAATAACATAATTATTGTTCACACACACTGTACAATTTATATTTTATAAGATTATAAGATGATACTAAATTTTTTTTTACTTACATAACTATTAGGTATATGATACATAGGTGCCTAAAACATTTCAAATTGATACAGTTTTATCATTTTATGACAAAGTTTCAAAGATATAAAGTATCATATACATATTTTATACTAAAATCAATCTAATTTTTTAAATATCTTATATTTAATTTCCAGAAAACTATTTTGTGCATGAAAACTCAAATTTCGTCCATAAATATCGAAATTTTATGTATATGATATATAATATTGTTAAAAAAAACAAATTCTGATACTCTATTATTACTAGATACAAAATTTAGAAAATAATATTATGTATATGATATATAATTTATTCATATGATAAGGTAGTATTTTTATTTTTTAGATTATCTTTTTAGTTTTGTGTTATACTCAATTTTTACATCATGAAGGACATTGGTGGCATTTCTATGCCACATATAGTGGATGATGCAGTAGTCAAAGGTAATGTTGATTTAGAATCTGCTTCTGATCAATTACTCCAACAACCCATTTCACCTATACACATGGATTTTGCAACTGTTGATCACAATGGTAATGTATCTGCTGTGGATGTTGAACAACGACTTGTTAATGAAGAAAATGTTGCAAAGGTATGCATATGATACTTAAATTTACATATACTTTATAATTCCTTCCTTATATTTTGTATATGATATATTAACTTTGGCACACATCACAGCTATTTGACACTATTAATCGATGTAAAAATTATAAAAAGCAGATAGTATACCAATCTAATTTTTATAATAAATTGACAATTAAATAATGTTGCCAAAAACATAACATTATTCATTTATTGCATCATAAAATAGTAACCATTACGAATCTTTTGGGAAGAAAGTACATGTTCTTCTATTGTGACCTTCCTGTCCACATTGTCTACAACAGTTCGTGTTTGTGGTAATCTTTTCATCTGGATTTTTCTTCCTCTTTTTTCTTGGCCTTCCAGGCATTTTTTTGTATCTTGGTGGCAAGACTACTTCTTCCAAAACAGATTCTGGAGCTATCCAATCACTTTTGTCTGGCATTGGTTCTATTGGAAGTGCATACATGTTTGTTAATGCATAATGTTTATAGTGATCAGAGCAGTAGGGATGTACATCTTTAATATTCTTCTTCTTCAAAACAGCCATTGCGTGCACACAAGGTATCTCGTCATGTTGAAATCTACCACATGAACAAGTTTTTCTTTCAAGACATACAATGTATCTTATCGCACCTTCATACACTGCAAAGATATATTCATAAGATGCAACTACTTGCAAATGTTTAAAAATTACAGATACATCAAACGAATTTGTAATTGGTATACTTAACAATATAACGAGAAGAAAAGCTAGAATCATAAAAATTAATAATACAAATATGTACCTTCATTTTCACACATTTGGACGCGTTTATAATCAATATTTCTTCAAATCTTCTCCCTAATGTTTCCTTTGTATAAGATGCTATTTCTCGATTTTTGCAATTCCAAGTACCAAATAGAATTCTAACTTCTTCCAGAAAGTCTATAATAGGTAATTGTCGTGCATCAACAAGGCAACCATTTATACATTCCGCTATGTTCGAAGTCATCATCCTCCCCCTGTTCACAGTTGCATGAGATCTAGCCCACCTTTCATACCCAGCATCTTGAAGATACTTCTTAACTCTTCCATCTATTTTTCCACTTTAGCCATTAATTTTTCTAAAATCATCTTTCTGATAAGCCTTTGCCATCGAATAGAAAATATCACTTAGTATGGTTCTGCTTCTCTTGTAGTATGTACCACACATTTTTTCCAGAGGTGCCATATGCATGCGAAATGAGGAATACTTGGATAAACAATACTTACACTCTTCAATATGCTTTCATTTCGATCTGATACAACACACATTTGTTCTCTATCACCAAATACATTTTTTAAAGTGTTGGAAGAACCATGTCCATGAACAATCATTTTTCGTGTCTACAATTCCATAAGCTAACGGCAAGATACAACTTTCAGATTTAAACACATACCATTACGATTCTTTATATATGATTGTTCCATTATGTTATATTACTATCTTGAAAAATCAAATTAATAAACAACATGTCATACCTGCCCCATCGAGTGTACTTGCCGATACAAATGTCCCTCGATAAGATCCGCTAAGATGTGAAGCATCAACAACAACAACAGGCCTACAGAACTCAAACCCTCTCATCATTGGCCTTAATGATATGAAGAGATACATAAACTCATTTTTTTCCGACGTGTGCATACGTATATATGAATTTGGATACACAATGTTCAGCATATATATGTATTTTGGCATCTGTTTGTATCCGTCTGCAGGTTTACCCCTAATCATCTCCAATGCACGTTCTTTTGCACGCCATGCTTGTTGGTAAGAAATTTCAACTCCATATAGTGCCCTAACATCCTCAATTATATCGTTTGGAGTATGTTTTCTTTTATGATTCAATAACTTTGGAGCTGTCACACCACTAAGAAACCCAACAGTAGCTTGAACGTTACTTAATACCCTATCTCTCAATGGACATGTATGTTCACTATTGAAGTATCTCACTTTGAATATGTCCGTATTTTTCCTAACGGACGCCTTCAATTCCCAACAACAAGCATCTGAATGACATACTAATACGTAGCTGCAATAAAATAACAGTACACCATACATTATTACAAAGACTTTTAGTTAAATTGTAATCTGCACACAGTTCAATGATGACTCATATTATATATTTGCTATACAATCAGATAGCACATTCAAAATTTAATTAAACTGTCAAGCAGAAAACCTTATGATACCTAACAACTACAATTGCACCATACACACGTTATTTGTGTATCATGATCAACACGATATCAAATAAATCTTAAAAAATCATCAATTTTATAAGATTGAAGTATCACATACCTTTTGCTATCAGATCTCTTAACTC